GTGTGTGTGTGTGTGTGTGTGTGTGTGTGTGTGTGTGTGTGTGTGTGTGTGCGCGCTGTACTCAGGATGGTTGCAGCTCTGTTTCTTTTCAGACATCCAAGGGCAGAGTAATATATGTTCCTCAGCATCCAAATATAGACAAGCATTAAACTAACACTCCTTTCAGGTGGCTCTTCAAAGAACACTTTTTCTTCCAAAGCTGCCTCTTGGTAGAACCCAAGAAGCAACCAAGAAGAAGGTAGGCTGTGAAAGAAGCAGATCCAGCTTTTTTTAAACTTAGACAGATTTCAGTGGACGCCCTTAGGTGAACTGCTGTCTCTCCTTTCTTCCTGATCTGCAATCCTTGGCCAGCCTCACAGGAAAAGATTGTCATGATTAATCTGATGTATATATAATGTGTTCTTTGGAAAAGAGCTCTGTGAACATTTTTTAAACCATAATTCACTTAAATCAGGACTGGGCTAGTTATAGCCACTTTTCACAGCCTTGGAGCTCCCTAGGACTGTAACGGACAACACAATTTCTCACCATTTTGATCAGTGGTGGGATTCAAAAATTGTTTTACTACCGGTTCTGTGGGCGTGGCTTGGTGGGCGTGGCAGGGGAAGGATACTGCAAAATCCCCATTCCCTCCCCACCCCACTAACCTGCTTTCTAGCTCTGTTCTCCTGTGCAGGGCAACAAAAGACCCAGCCAATCAGCTGGGACTCAGGAGGCAGAGAATAGATGGGGGCGGGGCCACTCAGAGGTGGAATTTGCCAGTTCTCTGAACTACTCAAAATTTCCGCAAGCAGTTCTCCAGAACTGATCAGAACCTGCTAAATACCACCTCTGATTTTGATGTGGGAAGCAGAACAAAATAATATAAGCTGTAAAATAGGCAAATCATAAGTAAAAACTGAACAAAAATTCTTGCATGTGTGGTGTGACCATATTTGTTTTACAGCTCCCACCGCCCACAAATGTTTGACATTAGAATGCTGAAAAAGTTGTGCATCTGTTCCATTTCACTGTTGTTTTTGTCCCCCAGTTTAAAATTGCTTATTACTAGAGCATCATGAATCCACCCAATTTTCCAAGCCAATGGTGCCAGTGGGAACAAAGGCTATGAAGGCAAGCCTGGTCTAAATTTTCTTCCAAAAATTTACACCGGTAGGAAAGATTAGATAGCTAAGACAGGAGAATTTTGGAAAGTGCTGTGCTGGGAAAATATGTCAGGCAGCTCAAACAGGTAGAAAGGCCTGGCTCTAACCATCCAAGTGGCAGCAAAGCTTTAATACTAGAAGCATAGATAGTAGACAGGGTCAACACCATTTCAGTATGTTATCCCCACCTGAGACAATTGGGATAACTGGAGAAATGATGGCTACATTAACCATGGTCAAGCAGGTTATGCAAACACAGTTTGAATGTCTGGCTTGGCTATCTCAGGCCTAAGGGAAGGCAGTATTTCTTCCACTGCTGCCCTTGCCCCTGGCAGGATAGGAGAAATCACATCCCTCTTATCTCTACATTTTCTTCCTTTGGGTGCAGAGTGATCCGTTAGTGAAATGAGATGGGAAAGAAGGAGAGAGCGAAGGGCAGCAGGAGGAGGGATTCCTGATCTAATCAACCAGGCCTGGCAAATAAACCCAGCTGTGCCTCTGCCTGAAGCAGGAAACAACTTTTGGAGCAAACACCGCACCGGGCAACCGGTGGCAAAATAAACAGGGATTGGCGCTACTTCCATCTGCTCCAGGCAAGGAGGAAAGAGGGAGATGGGGCTCAAGAAAAACTGCTTCCCATGGAAGGAAGTGGGAAACAATCTACATTGCCCCAAAGGGCTTAAAACATTCATTGTAGCACTCAGCATATACTTTTTCATAATGTATTTTCCAACTCCTTTGGCCAAGAAAATCTAGACAAGGATCATCCTTACCTCGTTTAGCATTTATTGCCTCACTTCCTTATTGAAAGTCTATCTAATTTATAGGTGCAATATGAAATGGCTATGGGGACAGTCACAAGATATGGAAGAAGTTGTTTCATTGGTTGGGTCGCTTTTAATGAAATAAAAGATTTGGTCTCATTACCCAGCTCAGCAAATGAAATTATGTCTTGTAAATTATAATTCAGCCTGTCATAAAAGAAAACAATGTAAATCAAAGCAAATAATATTTTGTTCTTTGTAGATACCCTAGAAGTTTATTAAATGAAATGAATTCCATGTAACATACAAATTATATCAGTTAAAATTTATAAAACTCATGTTAAATTCAAAACAGATATTTCGTCTGCTGAACATTTTCATCAGTATTGGTAGGATGGTCAGATGCAGACAGATATACTGCTTCTAAGGAATATCAAGATCTTTGGGGGGAGGGAATGACAGCTTAAAAATTGGTAATGTGAAATCAGCCTTTGTGGTAATTTGATCCATGACTTTTCTATAAATTAAATCCAAGTAAATCTTATTTTTTTGTAAAAAACCATTAACCCAGGATTTTAAAGTGTTAGTTTCTTCAACAAGCCATAATGCCTTGCTTTGCATAAAATGCTAAGGCATAATGGATACATGGTATTAAGATAATGAACAAAGTACACAATAGCTTAACACAAAGAGTGAACTCAGTCTTTTAGTCAATCATGCCAAGCAGTAAGCATAGACAGTGAAATAGGAAGGCCAAAATAAAGATGATATAAGTAGCTTGGCCCTTTAACAGAGTTTGGAGGTGGGGAATGTGTGCCTTCAAGACAGTGTTGACTTGTGTGACTCCCTGGGCAAGTGCCTGCAGCTTTCTTGGCAAGATTTCAGAAGTGGTTTGCCATTGGGTCCTTCCTAGGGCTCAGAGGCAGCGACTGGCCCAAAATCACCCAAGTGAGACTAAAATTCAGTCTCCTGGTTTCTAACCTGGTACCTTAACCGGTAGACCAAATTGGCTGTTCTTTAACATGTAAATCCAAATTATCCTGACATTGTTTTTAGTGAAAAATGTAGTTGCAAATAATCCTTGCTTAGCAACTTATTCAGAGTTACAACAGTGATGAAAAAGTAACTTTATGACCAATCCTCATATTCATGACCTTTGTAAGTCTGTAAAGCAAAGGAAAGCTGAAGCAAGATAAGCACACTTGTAGTTTCATAATGACTGATTTTCAGTCCTAATTGTGGTCACCAAATGAGGTCCACCTAAACTATTTCTGCTGAGTATAACATTCTATTTTCCTGCAGTGTAGATTGGGTTGAACTTACACAGTGGAATCAAACTATGTAAAAATAGGAAGTAAATGCAGAGAATATTTAGTCCAACCTTCACTGCAAGAGTCCACAACTGTCCCATCCATGACAGAAAGCCATGCAGCCTGTTTAAGTCCTCCAGCAAATTAGACTCTTCCATCTCTGGAAGAATGATTAGCCCTGACATAATCAGGGAGAGTGAAAACTTTTATCAGAAAGAAAAGATTTGCAGGTGCAAGGCTAGATTCAGAATATCTTGGAGATAACATTAAGTAGCCACAATGGAACGATTGTTCTCCGAGCAGCTTTTCACAATCTGTAAAATGTAGACTTTTCAGCTCCCACAATTTCCAGCAGAGATTAGATTTGCTGAAGGTTCTAAGAATTATACTGGAGTCAAACATCTCTAGATGTTCCAACATCTTCAGATACTGAAACAGGCAAAAGATGCTGGAGAACAAGTACTTTTTTCTTTTTCTTTCATTCCACCTCCTTTTTCTTGATAGTAAACCAATTCACAGTCTCGCTATGATTCGAGTCTTCCTTTCCATGTGATGTCGGCTTTTTATTGGGTGGAAGCACAATTCAGAACAAATCCATATTCCTAAAATGATGGACAAATCCAGATCCATAAAGTGATGGGACAGCCTGTGAATAGGTAAAGCACAGAATGACACAAAGAGAACATGCAAGAGGCCCCAAATAAAGTACACCAGTAGCACAACTGTAGTCCTAAACAATTAGGCAGGAAATCCCAGAAGAAAAGCAGTGTGAGTTACATTGTATAGTGTTTCTCTTTATTTGCCATGCTTTGTGCCTCACCTTGGGAACCTTTATTTTTGTTCAATGCATAAGCCTTTTCCAAGGGGCATGAAATTCAGGAATTGGATTTTTTTCATCTTTTCATCCCATTAAAGAGGTTAAACAAATACACAGCTTAAACACTTTTTTTAAAAAAAATTATGTACTCAGCATTTAAACAAAAATCAAGGGGCTTCTGGTGGTGGCTTTTCCAATGAGCAAATTTATTAAAATTGAGCTTGAAAAAGCTGCTACTAGTCTCTCACTCAAATAGATTAACACAGGTCTCCTATAATGCACTCAGAATTATTTGACATGCCATTTCCATACATAAAGCAGCTCACTAAGGTTGGGCAATTAAAAAAAAATATGCCTCCCATTCTAGCTTAATCACTATAAATATATACTATACTATAATCACTATAAGCTTGATATAATATATAAATATATTTCAATAGAAGAATCGATCAAAGTTTGTTAAAAGATATTACTTTATTTCCTTGGGCAAAAACCTGATTAGCTTGATATCTTCTTGAATTTATTTCAGGTTTATTTTGATCAGATCAAATTTCAGACACATTGTAGTTTTTAAAACACTTAAAATGCCTTAAAATGCTGCACAAAATCGCCCAAAGCACAATATCTGGCCTATAGGCATACATTTTTCAAAAGATCTGAGAGAAGAACTGGAAGGCTGCCAGAATAGAGGTAAACAGTTGAGGGGGGGTGGAAATTACCCACCTTAATATACATGTATTTGGGAATTATCATTAGGGAGAACTCCACAAGAGAAAATGAAGTTTTAATTATTTCTTAGGTAACTGCCAACCAGTGGCCTCAATTGCAGTTCCATGTACAAAATCCCTGCCCTTTTATGCCCTCTAGTGGGACCTAAAGAGATTGTACATTTACTTGCAAATCTTAGCAGAACTGATTTTAGGTCTGGGGCACAAAATTCAGTGTGGCTCCCATAGGGCTTCTCTGGAAATGCAAAGGATCGAGCCGCGCTCATGTTCCAGCCAACTGTAATCTTTGCGGATGGAAGGGGAACCCCGGGGGTTGTGAAAAGATGGATATTTTAGGCCTTATTTCCCGACCCCGTTTCCTGCTGCCTTCTGCTTCCTAACCAACATCGCAGGGCGAGGCCTGCTGATTTGGGGGAACGTCTCTAAGTTCTTGCTGTGAGACCAAGGAAAATTCTCCCATGAGTTTAAAAACAAACAAAAACGCGTGTAAAAGTGCTCTTGAGAAGCGTGAAGCCGGTTCCTTGGGGTATGATTAAGAGGGAAAAGCTGCCGTCGAAGCAGGCCAGCTTCGTTCCCCCTTTGCTAAATAGTAACCCAGATAATTCATGGGGGGGGGGGGGGGGCCTCGAAGTCCTCGCTAAGGGGGACTCTTTCTGAAGGGCGGGGGGGGGGGGGGGGGGGCAGGGAAAAGGCCGTCCATTTCGAGGGAGGCCCGGTGCTAATCTCGCCTCACGACGGCGGCGCCACGGGCTCTTTCCCCCTGCGCTTTGGACGGGCGGCCGGTCCCTCCCGCGCAATGGCCTGGGAAAAGGGCGGCGAGCTTAATCCTCCAGCTGAGCTGGCCTTTGTTCCGAGGTGAAAGGGAATCGGTGCGTCAGGGCCTTTATCTTTCGCTCTTCGACTGCTAAGCTAACATGCCCGCTTCATCCCTTTATGGGCCTCGGGGAGGCGAGGCATCTCGCCAGGATGGGCAAGAGGTATGGACAGGCCCGGCTGACCGCCCACCCATAGTTGCCCCTCGCTGACTCAGCGCAACCTGTTGTGCTCTCCCCTTGTCACTTGGTCAGGCCAGGCTATATAATGCGGCCGGGGACCTCCAGCCCCCTATCTCCAATCTTTACCCTTGTCTGATCCGCCAAAGGTAAGTCCCTGCGCGCTGCTTTGGGAGGGTGGGGTATCCTGGCACTCTTTTTTTGAGGATTCGACCGCCTTCCCTGGGGTTGGGGAAGCGCTCTTTTTTGCGATTGGGTGAGGGGGAGTTGGTGGTGAATGGTGGTGGCGGTGGCTTTTCTGGGACTTTAAGGCTGCTGTTGGTCGGTCGGCGGAGGATCAGCGAGCCCAGCCGAGATGTGGTGCTTTCTTGGCCTGGATTGCCTTAGAAAGCCCTTTGGAGGCGCCGGCGCTGGATGGTTGCTGCTCCTGTTCTTCGCTGGCTCGGGGCAGGATGCTGCCGTCGGAATGCAAGGGGGGAGCCTCTTTCGCAACTGGACGGCTCGACCTCGAGGCCGACGCGGGTCCGATGGCATTTCGCCTTCACCTTCCTTTCTAATTCTTCGCGTCTCGCATATTCTCAGCAGGGCTGTTAGACTATGTCGACAGAGAGAGAGAGAAGAAGCGGAGCGCCGAGATATGCAGGTGTGTCCGCGCGCACATTTGAGCGCATGCCTACACGATCCGTGCGTGCACAAATGTGTACTATACACTTAGGATTGGGAGGCATGTATAGAATTGCGCGGGTGCAAATGTGACACCAGGGTAGCGACTGAGTCAGCCTTAAAGGAAAGGCTCTGGCCTTCAGCTCGCCTTATGCAATTGGGAGGCAAGAGAAAATTCCTTGAATTTGGGAATTCCTTTTGGCCAGGCTGCTTCTATTCCAGAATCCTCTGGTGTTCCTCTGGATCAGGGATTTATGAATTAAAAGAAAGATTATCGATTGCTGAAGGCATTTGGTGCCCAATTCAGAAAATTAAAATGCCCCTGTCCAAATATTATGCATATAATATGTATGTTCAGGCTATCTTTGCAACATACCAAACCCTTAAACAAGATTAAAGCATGCTATGTGAATATAACCACTAATTCTTCAGTAGATCTAGCTAAGAGTATTGAATGAATGCTGGCAATTTTGATAATACTAATTAATGCCAACTTTTTGACATGTTGCTCTTGAATAATACTCCTAAACATGCTCCTCTGGGTAAGACACTCTTTCCTGTCTAATATAATCGCTTTTTGCATGTGCATGTCTTTATGGCTGAATGCATAGCATCTCAATAAGCTGTTATATAGTTTGATTGTGTTGATGTGTTGTGTGACCTCACTTACCTTCTAATTCTCTGTTTATGGCTAAGCATTATGTTTGAATCCAGCCAATGGTGGCATAATCAGTAAATCAGTAAACACAAAAAATGTCTCGCATGAGAGTATACAAAACTACATAATGTGTAAGAGCTGAGATGCCTTGTCATCCAGTGAATGAATCTATTAAGGGCTTCTTTGATGTCACACTCTTAGTGATTTCAGTCTATGGATGGCAAGTAGAAAATCATGCTCCATTGTGTAGATTAGTCAGGGAGAAAGAGAAACAACTTAAAGGGAGAAGAAAAATAGATGAGAAGGAAGACCACTTACCTGCTCTATCCTTCAGCTTGCAATTCACCCAGTAATCATACAATCCTGTTCTGTTCAAAAACAAAGTTTTGAACATTTTTCCTTTTCTCAGCCTCTCAGATGTTCCCTAAGTCTTCCTCTTCTCTATTTGGCAATCTTGCATAATGCTTGCCACTGTTCCTCCTTGACATCTTGGTCCATAGTTGAGGGGCTTTGCCAGAAGGGAAGATATGACTCACACATATGCATCTCCCCTTCTACACATACAATCTCCAGCTGCTCTACAAATGTATTCTTAACCATACTATTCCACCTCCACAGGCAAAGATCTACCCATGACCAGCCACATGGAGCAATTCAAGATCATTGTCTGGGAAGAAGAAAATTTCCAGGGGAAGCGTTCCGAATTCATGATGGAATGCCCCAATGCCATGGAACGTGGTTTCCGCAAGATTCGCTCCATCAAAGTGGAAAACGGCCCGTAAGTGTTTTTGCAGTTCACAGTGTACATTGGGAAGCCCACAGAAGCTTCTGGTTTTAAACATTTATAATGAAATAAAGTAAAAACAGAAACAGAATTAGGAAAGTTAAAGAGGAAAGAAGTGGGGAGTGGGGAAAGGTAATTGCTTCCTACTTTTTCAGGGCAGTAGAATACAAAAAGAGTTATAATTTCAACCTTTTGCTTTACATTTCTAAATGTTTCAAGCTATTACTATAACAGCAAAATCATCCTGGTCATCAAATCTAAAATCAAAGCTTCATTTTTTTTTTTAGTTTTGAGTACAAAATCCAGAGTGGTTTCCAAATGGAAACAAAACTAGTCTTTTTTTAATTAGAGCAGTCATTTTGCCATCTCAGCCAATTGCATTACCTTTATAGACTTTTCAGTTGATTCTGAGAACCTCCATGTACTTTCGCATAGAATATGGATAAATAAATATACAGTCATCTTTAAAGCTGATCAGGAAGTTGCAGTTTTAATTGATTGATGGAAGGAAATCTTAGGAAATCAGACATAAAAGATAGCACTGCTACAAATTTTAACAGTGAGTTGTGTTTTTGCTTACTAAATTCCTAGATATCTTACTCTGCCATCGACACTTTAAAAAACTGTTTGAGGTATAGAGGTATACAGATGTATTTAAATATCACGTGTATTATTTATACATTGCTTAATTGCTTTAAACAGCATTGAATCATTGGAAACCACAGAGCTGTTTACAGGATAATATGATCCTGTGTGTTTTGAGAAAATATTAATTCTTTAACAGTTTGAATGAATAATTTGTAGATCACAAAGTCAAAATATGAATTATCTTTCCAGGTTACGTTTGCTTTGGTACTCTGCATTAAGTACCGTGTTTCTCATATAATAAGGCTGGGTCTTATTTTTTTTTTGAGCCCCGAAAAAATGGCTAGGCCGTCTTTTCGGGGGTGACTTAATTTCCCCCCCTTGCATCTTAGGGCGGGCGGCGACGGCTTGGATGTTGACCTCGGCATTGGTGGGGCACTTTGTATCAGGGTCAACGCAGGCAGCACCATATCCGGGTGTGCAACAAAAGTACTTCCTAACAGCAAGCCCCCCTGCCATTTCCCCCCCACTTCGCATGTTTTAATATAGGCCTTAATTTGTGGGGAGGGGCTTAATTTCATTTCATGCCTATAAAACATGCTGGGACTTCCTATTGGGGGAGGCCGTATTGTTGGAGAAACAGGGTACTTCCATAAACAAACTATTTAAAAGGAAATAAATAGCCAATAAACCCTACCAAGGAGTTAGACAAAGTGAGGGAAAGCATGATTCTGTAGTAAAGCACCTGCTTTCCATGCAAGGGTCACAGGCTTAATATTTTGCACCTGGGTGAGAGGTCATTAATTTGAAATAACTCTGCTTGAATTCTTAAAACCCTGCTGGCAATCAGAATCCATGTAGGTTTGAAAGGACAATAGTTTGTTTGATTGCAAAGCAACTTCCATGTTTACTCTAAACACCAAATAATATTTACAGCAATCACAGCACTGCAGAGAAGATGATCACATAGGTAGAAAATAGGTTGTCTGATCTTTTTAAAGATCTCTCTTAAAGAACATGTAAGTTTTTACCATGGTAGTTATGTTAAAAGGAGGCACACCAAGTACTTGCTTCACCAAATAATATTTGCAAAACTTTTTTTAAAAGTGCATTTGTTATAATTACTGCAGAAGAGAAATTGGGAGAAATGTCCTATCTATCATAATTTTTTTTTTCGTGACGCTATTAAGATTTGAGCTGAATTTGAGTTTGATTTTAGAATGTGAAACCACATATCCTCATACTTTTCTCTTTCTCTTTTCTTGACCCACAGCTGGATAGGCTTTGAGTATCCTGAATATCAAGGGCAGCAATTCATTTTGGAGAAAGGAGACTACCCTCACTGGGAGGCCTGGAGTGGAAACAGTGCTTATAGGACCGAGAATCTACTCTCCTTCCGGACTATCAGATGTGCCGTGAGTGCTCTTTAAAATATTCAAAAGCATTTTAAACACTTCAGGACCCACCCTGAATTTCTCCCATGGGCATAAGGAGCCTTTTTGTTTAAAAAGAGGGCCACCAGACAAGGGGAGTTTAAAATATGGGGGGAGTGGGGGCAAATGCTGCATTGAATTGATCTTTTAGGAAAATAACTGCATGAAAGAGTATTGAATACTAATTTGTTCCTTGAAAATAGCTAATTTGCAGGTAGAAATGGAATGCTGTCTCTGCTGGGCTTGGGCTTCTGGCTTCAAATTGATGATGCAATCACATGCCCGATTGGGAGGGGTTGGGTAGCGAAGCTCTCTTCCTCTCCAAACCTCTGCAAAGTATACCTATTTTTCTGGTTTGTTCTGCATTGGAGCCAGGGTGGAGGATAAGCTTTCGTCGCCTGCAAGCAACGCTGTGGGCATTTTAGGGGAGCAGAATGAGAGGGTCACTTGGGTCCAACTTCACATGTTAAGCTGAAGCCGCTCTATTCCCAAGATGGTGGGCAGTTGGAGGAGACAGGTGGCCTAGAGCATTATGAACTCTGTGTGGTCTTGGATGGTAAACTGCACAGGAGCCATGAGCAGCAGAATTGGCCCTGCTCTTAGTGGCTGTCCATCAGTCATCGTCTCAACTATTATTGGGCTGTCTGTAGCTTGAGTATGCAACTTTAGTTTCTGTATTGTTTCTATATCTATGAAATCGGTGGTTGCCCCACTGTGCCGTCCAGCCAGTTATAGTTAATAGGGAATTGGGATAGTTATTTAGGAATTGGGTGCTGTCTCCTTAAGGAAATGCATCATGGTAAATGTAGTTAAGGTATCCTGGGAAATGTAGCCACATGTCATGTGGCCACATCTGTAATCCTGATTGGTCACTGAATTGACCCTTGGTGGGTTGTGGGAGGTTCCTTCACTCTTGCCTGAACCCAGCATCATGCTGGTGTCTCACCTCCTTGCTCCTTCGATATGGGATGAGAGATTACCATCCTTTTACACCAGAAAGTCAGCTATGCAAAGAGTTGGACATTGAGATGAATCGCGACATAACCGTGAGTTATATTGATGATGCCTAATGAACTAATAAAAATACTTTGTATGGATGCTTTGTGGACTTAACTGTCTGCTTTATAATCAGCTAGTGGTTGTAAGGTCCAGAACAGAGGTTTCCAAACTTGGCAACTTTAAGACTTGTAGACTTCAACTCCCAGAATTCCCCAGCCAGCATGCACCGGTTGGAGAATTCTAGGAGTTAAAGTCCACAAATCTTAAAGTTGCCAAGTTTGGAGACCACTGCTCTACAACAACAGACAATTCTACCCTCTGCTTGGAATCTAAAATAACAGGAGTATTTAAATATGCTTCTCTTCTATTGACTATCTTAACTATCCTCAAATAGTGGAGAGGTCTTCTTCAGAGTTCTTGGGAGGAGAGGGCAGGCTAATGAAGTTCCCTTGAAGTGCTGCTTCAGAGCGACCTGGGAACTTGCTGGCTACGTGCTTTGCTGATTTACAAGTTCTGCATCTCATTGCTGTGCTTGATGGAACTTCATTGATGTTTTCACCTGGCATTGTCTGGCTGTATGTCCTGGGGATCCCACAGTAAAAGCACAGTCCCTTCTTTTTTGCTTCTCTCCTGATGACAGGGAGCTCTTGGCTGCTCAGATTTGCGTGAGTTCTCCTAGGCTGGATTCTAAGGAAACCATTGGAGGGAGATGGGCTGTGGGTTCTTTCCCCCTTCCTGTTCCTTCCCTGCCTTAACTCTTCTGGTCAGCAGCCCATCAGTATACAATGCTAATATAGCTCTTCCAGGGTATTTGGGGTGCTTTGCCTCGTCAGCTCATCTCTTAGGGCAAGGGTCTTCAAACTTGGCAAGTTTAAGGCTTGTGGACTTCAACTCCCAGAATTCCTGAGCTAACATGACTGGAGGAGGAATTCTGGGAGTTGAAGTCCACAAGTCTTAAAGCTGTTAAGTTGGAAGACTCCTGTCTTAGTATCCTCAGCCAGCCCCAGGTCAATTGGGGCTAAGTCATTCCACCTTGCATTGCCAGCAAGTAATTCAAACTCCAAAATATATGACCTTAGTCTCCTCTGTCCCTGCTTGAGCTTCCAGATCTCTCTCCTAGCAATGATTCTCTCTATGGGAATGCCCAACGTGTCTTCTGAGTTTAAAATCATGATAAGTTGCCCTGCACCAGTTTGTTTTATTTATTTTATTTATTTTATTTATTTGATTTGCCAATTGTTTACAAGATAATAAGTATAAGTGTATACATAGTTGTGAATACATGAAATGGGTACATATAAGAAAAATAAAAGAAGAATAAGAGAAACAATAGGACAGGGACGGTAGGCACGTTGGTGCGCTTATGCACGCCCCCTACAGACCTCTTAGGAAAGGGGTGAGGTCAATAGTAGACAGTCTAAGGTTAAAGTTTTTGGGGTTTGGGGAAGAAACTACAGAGTCGGGTAGAGTATTCCAGACACTGACCACTCTGTTGCTGAAGTCGTATTTCCTGCAATCAAGTTTGGTGCGGTTTACTTTGAGTTTGTATCTATTGTGTGTTGCCTTCAAATGAACAATATTGCCCACTTAGCTGCTGCTTTTTTCTTTTCTTTTTTTAGCAAGCTTAGCACAAAAGTCACTTTGGTGCAATCAGTGGGAAACTCCATGGGGCCTGCCTGTGATAAACATATTCAGTCTCACATCACACTCTGCCCCAGCTCTGTTGCGTTAGTTATATCATGGCATCCTGCAAATAGGTCACTTATGAATTCACTGCTGCTGGTATTGCAACAAAGCAGCTCAGGTGCTGGGCACATAGCAGAGTTCCTTGAAGTTAGGCAGCCATTCCTGAAATCCCTCTCTTTGTATAAGAGTACCAGACTTGCAAGATTGATGTCAGCCTGTCTAGGCAGACCAGACAGGAAACACAGCCAGGTAAACGAATTCTACTTTACTGTCAAGCTACATTAAAAGAATCCTGCCAGTCTGAAAGTAAGTTCTGCTGCTGCTGCTTTTACAGCCTGAGAACTGACACTTATCCCAAAACTAGCCAATCAGATTTTTTGCCTTGTGTTGTATTAATCCTCGTCCAAATTTGCCCATCCTAAAAGATGACTGGGTGGGGCTAAGGTCACCTTTGCGGGGAATTTTTTAAAATGCATAGTCTTGGGTGGAAGACAAACAAGTAAATTAGGCACTTTGATTTTAGATGAAAGATTTTAAAAAGATCAGCCATATATTACAAAGCTACCAGAAGCAAGCAACTGGTATGGGCCGGAGCGTTATCTATCAGGGTTTTAAAAGAGGGATAATGGAGGTGTGTGTGTGTGGGTGGGTGGGTGGGTGTGAGTCAGAATGTATAACATCCATTGCCATGAAGCTATAGCCAGCCACATATCATTCCATCTCTAAAGCAGCTGCTTCGGTTCTAAACTGGGCTTTAAAATCTCTGCACGTCCCCCATCTGTGGGCTTTAATAAGAACCAGTCAGATTAGGGCCGCACTTTAATAAAAGACTGTGAGATAGCATCTCCTTCTTTGCTGGCAGGATCACGGAGTTCAGGCTGCAGGGATGTGCAATGGAAGGAAGAGAGGGAGACGAAACGATGCCAGCTTTTAACCCCTTAGATTCTTGGGACCCTGGGATCCTACAAATCCTAAACCCTTGAAATGTTGGAAGGCATTTTCTTCATATAATATCCGGGGCTTCAATTATTATTATTATTATTATTATTATTATTATTATTATTATTATTAT